GTCCCAGTCCTTCCTTCTTCCTTGCTGTGTATTTTCTTATCGCTTTGAAGCATCTCTGCTTTTGTAGGACTTGTGTTGAGCTGATTATATTAAACAGCTTGTCAGAAGACTAAGCCAGCAAAAAAAAAAGTGGACAATCTATGTTACTTTAGGGAGTTGAATTGAGTCACCTTGATTTTGCCAAGTGCCAGACATAAGGAAAAGGGCTGGACTACACAGTCGTGGCAGGTGAGTGAGGGTAGGTACCTGTATTGGAAGAGGGATTAGCGGCAAGGTATTGCATTGGCTTGGCAAAATACATCACTTCACCCTCAGATTCTCTAGAGAAGGAGAATGAAAATTGGTTGTATTCCTGTCAGATGTTTTTAAGCTCAGTTTTCTGCCCTGAAGGAATACAGCTGTTGCTGCAAGTGAATAGCTGCCATTAAAAGATGCAGTTAGTAGTTACACCCTGCTCTTACTCTCCAGTTCTGGAGGAACCGAGGTGCGTCTCTTCAGTACTTTGTAGTACTTCCTGAACTCCTTGCAGTTCCCGAGAAGGTCATCACACGCAGTCCGAGAAATGTTTTTCTAGACTAGGGCCTTGGCTGTGTTATGCTTCTCTTACAACACCATTTAAAAGGACTAGAGTAGCATAAACGTAATCTTCAAAGAAAAAACAGCCCCTCCTCAACTTGGCCCTTGCTGTACCACCTTCTCCTCAGCTTAGTTTGATACTCTTGGCAAGCAGAAAGTGCAATTTTGCTTTCTCTCCTTGCAGAAGAGAGTAAGAGGTATAGCATCAAATTTTGCCAAAGGTGTTGCATGACCTGTCTTTTTGAAATTAAGAAAACCTTGAGAATTCAGATGTTCTGAAAATAGCTTTTCTGTCTCATGTTTAGAGTCTTTAAATTAATGTTAAATAGCGTGACGAGTTATACAGTGATTCTCGGCTGTTCTAGCAAGAATGATCATACTTGCTCCTTTATATTTCTCATTGCCAGTCCTTCCTAATCAAAGTTGCAGCTGAAATGTAGAGGTTTTATGAATCAGTTGCATGCTACTTACTGTGCTTTGCAGACTACAGTATGGGAAAAATGGGCTTAATAGTTAATGAGTTAATAGTTGCTGTTTTATATGTATTAGACATTATCATATAAATTTTAAATATTTCTAAGCCTAAATCTGTAGACATATTGTCAAAACTAATTTCATTTTTGATTCTACTTACTTCCTTTTTGGTTTTATATTAATACAGTTATATTTTATTGTATATCCTGAATTGTTATTTTGAAAATAGTGTTCATACAGTGTAAGATGATCTGTAATCAGTTCTATAATAACTGCTGTTGATCACTGTATTTTCTTTGGTATAGTCTTGATGATTTTTATTTCTCATTATTTCTATTATGTTACACCGCACTCAGCTATAGCAATCAACTATTAATGAAGTAAACTTTGAGAACATAATGGGACAGAGAGCCTAAAATGTGTAAGAGATTTATCTATTAAAGGTAGTTAAGTGGGGCTAGGTGTCTTGCCAAAGGTCATAGGAAGAATTTATGACCGAGGGAGTGTAACACATTTTCCTTCATGTCCAATTCTCATGCTTGAATTATACAGCCACATTTCAAGTACATTTTCTACTGTTTCCCATGTACTCCAGAAATCTGTTACAGAAATTAAGTCCTCAAATACCACTTCTAGACTTGGGCCTCTATTATAGGAAAACAGTCTAATAAATGTTTTGTTGTTGAAGTGTTGGTGCTTATATTTTAATAACACACTTCTCTTTACAAACTGTTCTATTTTTCAGTAGTACTGCTTTTTTCTTTGTGTATGTTTTCATCAATTTTGCTGTCAACATGAGATAATCTATTTGTTTAAAGACTAGTTTAACACTCTTAACTAATTAAAATTTGGTTTGCTATTTACAATTAAACTGTATTTGAGTGAATTAGTCCTTCATCCTTTGATTTAGCTCAGTGTGGTGTATTTAGACATAATTTTTTATTAAATAATAGATTAGACTACCATAAATAGGAAAAATGTAAGATAGTCTCATTGCTTGAAATCAGTGAGAGGATAAATAGGGGCATAAAACGTCCTAGAAATTCATATATCCAGGCAGGCTTTTTTTCATGTTGTATTTGGAAAAAAAAAAAGTGGACATGTGCAGAAACTGTGAGTACAATTAGCGTCAAGCAGATAAATCCAACTCTAATCCTGTTTACGCTCTACATCAGACAGATGTGCTGAGATTGATTTAGACAAGCCCTTGGCTTATAGTAATTTTTTTTTAAGTGTCATATATTCTGTTTTTGTTAGATCTTTGTTAAATGTTAAGTGCTGTTAGTTTTATTCTTCCTAACGCCTGTAACCTACTTTATACAGGTTCCCTCTCTGCTCTCATGATGACAGGGCAGCCTGGTAGAAGAGATTATCTTTATTCCTTGTAATTAAATTGACTTTTTTTTCCAGAAGATACAACAATGGGAAGTGGGTACTGAATTAAATAAATAGCATGATATCTAATAGATGTATACTTAAATCTCTTGCAAGAACAGATGGTACCCGATATCTTTCTAAGTAATGTGAGAGGACAGTTAATGTCCTGAAACAGCTAGCAATAACCAATATGATACTAATGAACCAATAGGTTTTTTTAAAGTTTAAAAAAGTGTCTAATCCAATATATACTTTATATTTAAAGTAAACTTGGTTGTTATCACATACTAGAAATACTTTATAAATGTAGCTCATGACCTAAATTTTCTTTATCTGAATTGTTTTATAAATTTTACTGCATTTGCAAGGGTCTTATTTTCAGTAAAAATAGAAGATAAAAATTATAGAATATGCCTAGGGACTTTTATACAGATTTCTTTTCAACTTTAGTAAAAAATTGCTGTCCTAATCCTACTAGCTAGTTCAATATTTCCTCTACAATTTAAAATTTAAGGATGATGCTTTTGTATGATTCAGTATTCCTACAGTTTATATGGTTCTCCAAGCTGTATCTGAAAATGTATTCCAGTAGAACAGCTAGAGTCAAATGCTATTTTTGAAAGTGTAGTGCGGCCTAGTAAGAATGTATTGTTTTAATTTTCAAAAGTTTTGATGTGCATCTGAGCAACACAAGAATTTGACAAATACAGAGTAAGAGGAAGATGTAAAAGCAAATAAAAATCTGGCTGAAATAGTAGCATGAAAAGAAAAGAGAAGATAAGCCTTACCTGGCTTATGATTAAATGTCATTCTGTGAAAGCTAGTAGGGAGAATAAAAAGTATTTTAACAGACGTTCATCTTACTTGATTTGTGCAGGACAGATAAGCTAATGTTTGTAACTTATTTGTGATGCATGTGCATAACATTAGCATAACAGAATTTGTGATATTCTTAGCAGAACTAATAGTTTAATCCAAAATGTTCTTTGTTTAAAAATATTTAAAAAGCAAACCCATTTAGCATATTTGTATTTGTCTGGGGGAATAAATGCTGCAGCTCGGTTGTTGCTGCAGAACCGTTGTTATATTTCATGTTTCCTTTTGTTTACCATTTTCCTAAAATGTTGAGTTTGCATCTTGGAACTTTCAGTGTTCTGTATGTCTGACAGTGAGACTTTCTGGAAAAAGATAAGCAGACCCCCTCGAAAATGCTGTTTTTAAAATTAAAACAAGTCTTAAATAAAGGTACTAAACTATGTAGTTCTAGGTAAGTGATTCAGGATATCACAAGTAAATGTTTCATTTAAGGCCTACAAAGACTATTGACCCCCAAATGTTTTAGAAGAGCAATACAAAGTTTGAAAAAAATCAAGATCTCGGGTTTGGTAACATTAGTATTAAGGTTGCTTGTACAATGTCCACTCACCTTTTGAGTCTATGCAAGATCATAGTTCAAAGATGGTAAAATGTAGCAAGTTGGAAAAATGTGTGGGAAACACAAGAAAGTCATGCTTCTGTCTCTGCAGTAGGTTATTTGGTATGGAATAGGAAAAATACCAAAATGGGTTGGTTGAGAACTGTTGGGAGAGGTAATACTGACCTGAGCTTTAGCTGTGTTAGCATTGCTGAGGTGCAATCCTCCAGGATTTCTGGGTAGAAAGATGATCACTGCATAGCCTGGTTCAAGAAATGATGTTGAGAAATGCCAGTATCAAACTGTTACAAGAATTGATGCAGGCTTCTTTTTCCTGCTCAGAAAAAGTATGACTTTCTGAAGCCCTCAGCTTCATGTGGTGTAATGAAATAGGTGATACTTGATTTTGCAGTCTCACACCTGCAGTGCTGTCCATCTTCTCCAGGAAGACAGTTAAAATAGACTTTTGCAGCTTCTCCCTGGCACTTCGGCACTTCATCCAACAGAATCTGGTATGGCTTTTGCTACTGAGAAACCACTTGACTGAGCTGTTGCTAGATTTGGAAAAGGTTTTTGGTTTGTAGCTTTTCTTGCCTTGGGCTGCAAAGGGAACTTTATTGGTCTAGTGTATTGGATCTGTTGTCATTACAAAGCAAGCAGGGAAACTTCTCTTCTCGTGTGCGGAGTATCTGACACCTGCAGGAACGGTGACGTTTTTCCTTCAGTCTGCGTATTTGACTTTGTTGTTGAGGAATCAGGTGTTTTACAGCTCAAGAGAGCAGAAAAAGGAGAAGCCTGTACCACAGTGGTTCCATTGATACATCTTCAAAAGGCATTTGGAACTAGTGTCACGGAAGTGATAGTGTCTGCAGCCACGGGGTCCATGTGTATAACAGCCCCGAGACAAGAAAACCTTCACTTGGCGTTCCAGCCTAACACAAATCTCCCCTGGGGTGAGGGTCTTGAACTGTCAGAAGAACTTTTGAAACTGTTTTTCTTGTCTTTTAAGTAAATTCATAACTCCAAAATGAAAGCTAAGATCGGTGTCACACTTTTGGTTTATTTTTCTGTTTTTGCTTAACTATTTTCTGATTTGTCGCTAGCCTAAACCCAAAAGGCAGCAGTTGCATCAAACGCCAAATTTGTTTTTTCATGAAGTCAGCTTGGGTCATAACACACTTTCTGATCTCTGAGAGCTATGATTTAGGAGAATACAATGAAGAATTTGCTTTTTGAATGCAAACACACATACACACACACAAAGATGGTTCACTGTTCTTGGACCCTGCCATTTTATTTGGTTTTTTTGAATATCAGAAGAGGGATTAAATTGCCTCTTTGAAATTGAGCTATTTGTATAGCTGGATACCTAACTTAAAAAACAGAAAGTTGGTAAAATATAAGACCGGTGATTGAGGCAAATGATATGCAGTAAGTTTCAATATAGGCATGAGCAGATGCAACAAGTGAAGCTAGAGATGAAGCCATAACAATATTTTTTTGGTAGATATTACTCCTAATCATGTTGATAACACTTTTTTTTTTCTTTCTCCTCCCTCCCCCTTACAGGTGATTCCCGTATGGTTTTACAGGCTCAAGAAGAGATTATTGAAATGAAAGATGTCTTTTCAGTAAAACTGAAACGTCGTCGTTTTGTAGGACAGAAAAAAGGTGGTACTTTGTTGGGTATCACAATTTTTAAATGCTTGAATAAAGAAGAAAATAAACTAACAGACTGTGCTATCCATTTAAATAACTTAAGTGAAGATCATTGTCATTCATGGTTTAGACATCTAAAGGAAATTTTGAATGGTAAGCACTTAATTGAGGTTGATATTATTATTTCAGACTTGTTTCTATTGGCAATATGTAAGGTTGAGTGAAACTTAGAAAAATACTTGCCTGTGGAAATTAAGACACAAAGATATGAATGTTATTGCTGGAAAATTTTGTTTACTACTGAAGTTTTACATGGTGAAGTGTAAAATTTAGGAAAGTGACAATAATTGACTAATGCATCGGTAAAAATTAAACTAATGCTACTTTTTGGAAGTGTTTTGCAAGCTACCGAAAATAAGTAGCTTACTGTATTCTGACTGAAGAGTCTTCTGGGAAATCTGTTTCATAGAATCATAGAATCATTAAGGTTGGAAGAGACCTCCAAGATCATCAAGTCCAACCATCAACCCAACACCACCATGCCCACTAAACCATGTCCCTAAGCGCCTCATCTACCCGTCTTTTAAATACCTCCA